GTCAGCTAGTGTATCCATCCGTTCGTGTTCATCGTCTTTCGGACCCCGACGAGGAGCCGAGGTGCTCCAACCGAGGTCAGCTTCGACGTAGGTACCTTTATTCCTCTTGTCCAAGTCATATCTAGGCCACCTCTCCTCTTTTTCCATCCACGGCCCCCAGCGCGCAGGCAACGCACATCCCGGGAGTCGGTGGGTCGGGATGCGCTACAGGTGGCCCAGCCGTCGGAACCTGGTGCGTGATATAGCGGTACCGAACGGTTCACTTTTCTTCCTGTGCTAGAAACGAGGCGTCAAACGCGGTCATTGCATACACGGTGTTCCAAGTAGATATGAACCAAACTGCGAAGGCACCGGTTTTCGAACTTAGCTAACTTATTTACGTCTACCGATTTAATGGGTCAGGTTTCACCACCGTATAGCAGGGTCGAACGTACTGCTGCATTGTACACTCTTAGTGTAAGTGTCGGGCCGGCGCCATAAGTGGCGAAGATTCACAAAAGCGCTTCGCTGTTTTGCTGTACGGTTTGAGATCTCGTCTTCAATTCCAACGGCGCTGACACAACTGCTGTGGCAGTTGAATCTTTGAACAACTTCTAACTGATCCCCACCAAGGATCAGCACAGGAGGCAGTCCCTGCCAATCTTGGATGAATACTTTACATTTTGATGGAGCGTATCCTAGCTAATCTGTCCAGTTCAGCTTGGCACGTTTGTGAGCTGACACAGATTAGGGCAATATCGTCAGCATACTCCATGTCAAGATGTCGTTCACCTGTGAGCAGTTCCACACTTTCTAAGTCGTATCCCATGAACGCATTCTCCATGACTTCGTCAATAGCGAAGTTGCAAAGAAAAGATGACAGCGGACATCCTTGTCTTACACCGCTGAAGCTATCGAAAGAGGGCGACAGATTGCTGTAAGCACTCACTCTTCCCGAACTACGCCCGTAAAGCGCTCGGATAATATTCACATATTTCTCGGGCACAGATTTCCTTATCCAGCAGTCCAAAGGGTCACATCGATCCACCGAATCGAAGGGATCTGTGATGTCAGGGAACATGGTGCTCCAACAACTGACACAAGGTGAATATGTAGTCGATGTAGCCTCGACCCCGACGAAACCCGGCTCACTCCTCACGAATCTGGCCTTCACGAGCGCTAGTCATTCTGCAAAGGATGACAGAGGCAGGCACTTTGGAGGCGATGGAGATCAGGCTGATTCCTCTATGGTTGCCACACTCCGAATGTGAGCCACCCTTGAAGATCGGGACAATAACAGAGTGGCTCCAGTCGGTTGGGACAGTTTCCTGACCCACAGTAACCCCTGATCCATTAGTAACCCGTGAAAATCGATAACAAGAGCAGGGCTCCCGAATTTGGAGGGAGCTGGATGAAGATCATCTGGTCCCGCGGCTTTATTCAACTGCAGCAATCCGATCTCACGTTCGACTTCTAAGCGGGAGGGAGTATCCCTACGGACAGCGCAGAGGGTTGGGTGATCATTGGCCGGTGCGAAATCTGGCAATTCCGACCAATTAAATTGCCTTTCAAATTGTTCACCATAGACTGTGCACTCTCGTCACATATATTTTCACTAACACCTGGGCTTCTGCTGCCCGCTTCCCGTATGAAAGGGAATAATTTCCGATAGCTGCGAAGGATAGTGGCCACTTCCATTTCTGACACACAAAGAGACCACCAAGATTCGCGATCCCTCTTCAGACTAGAACGGAATTTTTCCCGGAACTCTTTACAAGTCTTATTGTGTTCGCTTCCATCCAGAATGTGCCGGCGAGCGTCGAGAAGTTCCAGAGACATCGAAGAGACACAATGTCTATGTTGGTATTGTGTTTACCACTTAAGGATTGGCCTGCTGCTAGTAAGGTCTGGTGAACATGCAACCACTGACCTTCAACTGTGTTCAGCGGGCGATTACTCAATCCGAATGCCAGCATTCTTCGATGCGCATTCAGAACATCTGGCTTCGCTAACTGGCTGCTATGTATGTGCTCGTAGGGTTGTCGAGGGCGTCCACCAAACCCACCCGCAGATCAGCATAAATAAAAGCATGATCAACGTCCACACATGTGCTCCTAATCGATCGAAAGTTTTGGACACGGTCCCTCCAGCGGTAATTGATCTTAATGTGATCGATCCGCGTCCATGGTTGGTGGTTGCCATGTCACCTTCCGGCGGATGCCGTGTCAGAAGTTAGTGTTCGCAAGAAATAAGCGAGTATCTTCACACAAATGAAGTACTCGCTCACCGTTATCATTACGGGAGCCTATACCATGTTGGCCGCACACATGCAGCTCATTCATGGACAATTTCCCACTATGAGTGTTCAGATCCTCTGCCAGCACTAGTGTCTGTGTTTCTTCTGTGGCGAACGAGCTCGTTTAATTGACGATAGATGTCGTCTTTTACCGAATCATCGCTACAGTTTGTGGGGGCGTAGGTAACAATGACAAAAAAGCACTTAATAGCCCCGTGCCTTTTGGAAACTTCGAATGTGCTAGCCAGTCGGACCACACACATTCGCCTACTGATTGGGATCTAACCAACCAGAGCGGTTTCAGCCCGGGGACTCAGGACACTGCCAACACCGGCTTGGCCGCTACTCGGAGCTGCATCATCTGCTTATAGGCGCAATGAGAAAGCACTGCTAGTGTCACCTGAAGCGGATCGCATAGTGAGAACAACTCGGGTCTTGTAAGCGGGTATCTGGTAGACAGCAAATATCAATTGATAGGGTCTCTAATGTTCGGGCAAGTGTTGCCCGTTGACCGATCTGTAACAATGTGCGTACCTTGAAGCATTCTAATCTGAAGGAGGATCGGGGGCTCCAAATGGAAGCTAATGAACTGCGCTTCATCGCTTAGTCAGATATGGTTTTGTCGATAGGCCGGGAGTGACGCTCCGCGTTTGCATGTGCGTTGAAACTAGAAGATAAAGGTGGGGGAAAAACCAATAATTGGGCGGATGAAAACGGGGGGACAAAATGAAGTTGAAATGGGACGCTAAGGAGGAAATCGCGTAAGAGGAGGAATAAGAAGAAGGGAACGCTTGAGCAGTAGCATCAACGCTTACCCACTCTGCTCGATGAAACAGAGTTCCGTCAAGTATCCTCTGCGACGGCCAGAGCATCGAGAAATGTTTTGAAGGAGAAGTCCCAGTTGTGCAGGATACTGTCAGGTTGCCCAGGCCTAGACAGGAGAACGATTAAGGTTTTCAACCAAAACGTTTGTTTTAAAAACCTAACCGCAGGTCAGCGAGGTTGGCAGGAGAGTACAAGGAGTCCGCATTAAGGAATAAGGAGCCACCCTCATTCCAACCCGAAATCTAGAGGATATACAGCGACTCGCAGATCCTCGCTTACGGAACACTGCCAAGAGCTCACCACAGCAGGTGGGCTTCGTCAAAGCCGACTTATTCTTCTCTTCGGTTTCTTTGGATCGGGTCTTACAGTGTGAGTCCGATTTGAGAACTTGAGTACATTGACAATATTGCCGTCTTCGACCGTGCCTAACTGCTATCCAAGCGCGTCCGAATAGGCTGGCCCAGAGTGGCATCCGCGCTTTCAGAGTGCGAAATACTCTTACAGGACTATGTCGATCCAATACTTGCTTCACTGGACAGCTACTCTGGGAGATCTGTCTGTTCACCATATCCACTTTAGTTGGCCGGTGACCGAGTGGTTTGCGCGCCTGGCTTCATCGCTTGGTTAGACATGGTCCTACCGATGGGGCGGGAGTGACGATCCGCGTTTGCATGTGGGTTGAAACTGGAAGATAAACGCCTATCAAAGCAAGGTGGAAGGGGGCCAAAAATTGGGCGGTTGAATACGGGGTATAAAAGTATAGGTCACCGGTTCGAATCCGGGTAGGGGCGGACATCCTCGCGGTATGCTCAGCGCACGCGCGACTGGTAGTGGTCGCGCGGTAGCGAAGCGCCGTTAAGGCGTACGACTGACACATTATTGTTTCTCAAATCGCTGTAGACTTTTATGAGGCTAGAGTGGCCCCATGAAACCTGATGCGGATGTAAAAACCGCGTGGTACCAGTTCGTCAGTCAATAGTAGGGTGTCATTCTGTAATTCTTTCAGTGTGCTCAGCTTTGACCATCGGCATTACATAGCGTCGCTCGTATTTGGCTCTAGTGCGTTACGCTGACATCCACTTGTCGGCGTTTGGTAACAGATCCTCATATCTCACTGGTTCACCTGCTGAACGTCCATTCCAAACACTGATCACGTCAACTACTGTAAGCGTCTGTTTCCAGGCCACTCCTGTATGCGTTGCTTGCTGTTGCTGCTCTAAAGGAATGAGGTCACAGGAGCAGCTACTCGGTGACATACAGGAAACATAGAGAGACCGACCGCTAAACCAAATTGGGTTGCCACGCAGTCTTCCTTTCATTGCGGCATCGATATTACCCAAATCAGTTGTTGGACGCCCTGTCAGACATGGTGCAATGACGTAATCAGTGGTACTTTTTCACCCGACCTATCGCTTCTGACTATCAATCACACAATGTTACTGCCCTTCGCTCTTTCTGAATTAGTTTTTCCTCTTTCTCTCATTTTCTATTATATTTACAATTTTTATGGTAACGTGGTTATCTCTATGTATACCGCGTTTTCGGGCTTCTAGTATCTCAGCTGAAAAGGTTTGATCCAGTACTTTCTGTTGCTTGCTTTGGCCTACTTGTGGTCGGCGGTGTCTGAAAACGCACACACACTCTCTCATACTCTTCCCACGGGATCCACTGAAGGTTAACAGTCTTGTGCACCTGATTGTTCGTACTTTACTCTTAAACTCCAAGCAGTTGTGCTGCAGGCCCACCACGCAATCTTCGCATTGCCATCTCCAGGGACTGTTGTGTCGCGATTGTTACCCTTGCGGTCTAAATTCTGCAATTTCAGGTTATCCCTTAACATCTCGCCTTCTCTTCGCTTGCTGATCCGCAGCCTCTCTTCCCCCGCTGCCATTTTATTCAGTCATCAAATTTGTACAGATTCGTGACCACAATCAAAACGGTGATTCTGATCCTGTTGAACAAATCGCCCCGCTGCACATGCGTTACATGATCTGCCGGGATTCCGTTGGGTATAACCAAAAGGTACGACCTTCGTTTAGCCTAGTAATTTAGTACACAGTGCTTATTGTCGCCACCAGGTCCTCCATTTCGGTCTACTTCTGGAGGATTTACCAGGATATTCTATGCATAAACGCCTTTATGATCGATAACAGGTGTTTGTCAGTATTCATGACTTATAGTCTGTTGCTTCTATCCGTCCGAATGATTTTCTGTTAATGGCAATTCTAGAACTGTTCATTTCAACGTATCATGACTTATACTTGGATGCGACAGTTTGCTATTTTTGATGATCGCTTGTTGGCTTTTCAGCCACCCCACTGCATTCGTTACCCAGCCTAAATGGTATTCAGTATCCATCATCCGACCACACAAATAATGCGACCTATCTTTGGCTACGACTCCACACACCGACGTTTATTCTCTACTCCCCGATTCCTCGATAATATATTCATTTCACCATTGGTCGACACCGGATATTATACTCAAACTGACTTGCTCTCGTTTCCGTCAGATATTGAGTATCTTTACTAGAAAATAATCGACTGATCTCTAACCGCCTAATTTCTGTCAAACCACGTTAGTCAATTAAAGGATGCAGAAAATGTGGATTCTGCCACAGTAATGCAGTTAAACTGGATTTTAATATACCACTGCAAGACTTACACTCCGCATCGCATTTTCGAATAAACTTGGAGCCGACTGGGAGTTCATAATTTTTAAGGTTTCAGAATACAAATTGATTCGGTATAGGTTTGTATTGCGGCTAGGTTCCGCTCTTGACACAAGACCTTCGTAATCAATGTTCAACTGACTGCCTCATATTCTGTTTATAACAGCTATCTGCTTCACGTCTCTGCTGATGCCGAGTCAGCTGGCACAAGGTGTTCGCGGTGTCAGTACTGCAGTCTGTGATGTCCGTCTACTACTCTCTTCCATCCCTGCATACGGATGTGACGATTGTAACAGCCTACATAAATGCTCAAGCCGCCCGCTTACTCTTTTCGGATTCGATACTTGCCGGATAGATAGTGCAGGTCAATTTCTCCAGTTGTATCTCAGCCACAACCTTTATGATATTAGCACCGCTCTATACAGCATATGCAATTGTATCGTTTCACATGACACCCACTGGACATCGCGGTGATCTGTACCCAGATTGCTCACACCGCTTTAGGCTACAGGTGGCATACGTTATTAGAAGACTGTCTGCCCATCTGGAGTACATACCTACAGGGTGATCATGTCTGCGTACGCGTTCTCATGATGTTTACCATCGCGGACTCGTTATTTGAGCACAGCTCACCATTTCGAGCTGTGACGTTATCACACACCGATAGGCTTGTTGGAGACGCCTTCAGTGCCTCACTGAGTGGCCAGTGGTCGCAGTACCGTTTGACGGTGACTCATTCGGAGTCAAAGGTAAGCTCTTTACAAGCGTTGCTGGGTCAATGGCGCAGAGAGCTATTCGCTTCCCCATAGGATTTGTATGGAACTGTTGCGGAATTCGACCTATCTTGATGGGAGTTCAGAAAGTAAAATTGCCAGTTACTGTTCTTCAGGTAGCTGGATGGCTGCTTGTACGCAACCACGCGCGCATCTGAGGTGAACCAGCTTGCTGTGTGCCAGTCTGTCGCTGATGTGTCAACGCATGAGGGCTGTAGCATTTTAATGACCTGCCAACTAACTTTATGATCGAAGCCCGGCTTGACTTGCGCTTTCATGGAGCTACACAGACTTCTACAATTATCAAACAATCAACCAAAGTACTTGATCGATTTCCCTGTCTTGGTAGTTGCGTCTTCTCTGACTGTCAACGTACCGCCTTTCGTATTTCCGACCACTTGTGGAGACAGCCGTATTGGTCTGTGAGCCCAAGGATAGTGTGCATACACAACGTTACCGTGAGACTGGTATTTTTGTGTGGATCAAGCATATGGACACAACGCATCGAAACTTCAAGAGATTGTGACTGACCTTGTATGCCTTTACACCACTATCCACATTTGATGGAACCATTGAGCTAGTCAAACGTCCTGGTAGTCATTCGATGTCATGTCAGGAGGGCATGTAGAAATTGATCAAAAAGGTATATCGCTTTGATGCGGATCGTCTTCTTTACCTGTAGCCTGGAGATCGGCTGCATAGCAGCTGGAGACTTTATCCGACTTAGACGTTTCCGCGATACCATTGGTACTTGTTTACTACCTCTTACTTTTTACATTTATGTTTCCATCTAATGATTTTGTCTATTGGTATGGAACAACATAAAGGTGCGTGCTTCAGGATGTTACAGTTTTTGCTCTCTGTTCACTTACACACGAGCAATGTCATTTCGTCTATTCTCTTCTCGTCTCTGTCCCAATGGCTGTGCCCATTCATTCGCTCGCACCTTTAGACTTTTGCTCCTTATTTTTCCTTTCAATTAGCGAATCTTGCCATCCACTGTCTGGCTTCGCTGACAGCTGCGACTCGATTATATGCGATCGGTTAAGTTTTTGTTATAGTAGGCTGTCCCCTTTCTAGTTGCCATCAAAGGCTCCGGAGATTGTCTCTCTCCTCTGGTGATCTGCATCATTTGAAATGTGTTATGTCGACGCCTTACTTTCAGTTCGCGCGTGGTTTTATTTTTGGCTTATCAAATAGTAAGGCGTCTCATTGGCCGCAACTACCATGAAATCTTGACATCATTGCCCGAATTCCCCCTATGCTCATGGCAACACTATTTTCTCGTGACGGTTAGTGAAAACGCGATCCCGCCGTAAATATCATTACTCTTTTTTTCAGAAATCGATTGCGGAACGATTTCGTATGCGGTTGAAGAAGCTATGATCTCCTTGACCTCCTAGACACGTACTATCCGATCTCTGTCGCTCTTCACCAATGTATCCACTTCGGATATTTTCTGGAGCATATACATATATATTGTTTCAAACTTCATGACTTTTAAACTGAAGAAAACATTGCCAAACGCTATACCCAGTGTCATTGATGCATAAGGCACCTAGAAACGTGTTATTGGACAGGTCTGTTTCTGATCCTGCCAAACGACACCATTTTTCATTATTCCCTTGCAATTTGACTATAGCCTCCACTAAAGAACTCGATGTTTTATTGAGCACCTTGGTACTTGTTCAGTTTTGAAACCGTTATTTCCTTATCTGTATTGTTTACATGAGAGAAACTCATCTTCCATCTGGATTTCAAATGACGCATGCGTCCTCTCGGAAGCGTCGATGCTGCACGCTGGTGTACGGCCGACGCCTTTCGTGTCTCTGGTTTGTTGTCCGGTGATTAATGTGGTCTGACTTCGCGACAACTGGCTCTTAGGAGCTCATGATGGGTACCAACTAGCTTTCCAAAGCATGCGTAAATTTCGCGTTGGCTGTCCTCCATACTTTAGCACTTTGAAGTGACCGCTCATAACAGCACAAAATGGTTTTTTCAGTGGTATTGACGAGCCATCTGTCCAAATTACTTTGTCAAAAGTCGCCTAAGGCTTCCATTTACCGGCAGTTATAGGCGTTCCTGGGTTGTACAACCTCAAACCAACGTTTCTACCGAATCTCTCACGAACTGTTGCTGCGGCAACGTGATCATCATGACAAACAACGCATGTACAGCAGTGAGCTAAACTGATGCTTTGCTGCCCTACAATCATAATGACCTACGGAATGGGGAATAATCAGAGAGAAGTGGAACCTAGGATAAAATCTAAACGCCTCAAAAACGTTCAGTGGCAAACTGGCTCCACGTTGTCAACAACGCACGCTCACAAACAGCTGGCTCTAGCGAAGGTAAAACATCATCCTCATTAAATGCACTACATCAGCCGTTTAGACTCTTGCTTCACGGCCGTGCAACCACAGTGATCCAAGGAAGAATAATGATAATCGGAGACCTAGCGTAAGATCTAGGCGCTCTAATCTAACCTTCAAGGTCAAGGCAGTTGCAGCTTGTCGACAGCATACTGTCGCGAACAACCGGCATCGGCAGAATAGCTTCCTTGCGGTTTTCACTACCCCGAGTCATGGATATTACCCCACAGATAGCCGCGCACAAGACCACTTAAAAAGGCAGTCCGACTACGAGACAACAGCAAACGCGCCACTGGTGCTGACTGCTAGCTCTGCCTTGTAAAGTCTAGCGGAGCACAAGGCGCGTCACTTGGATTTCAGTCAGGAAGGCGAAACAGATCAACAGCACCCAATTTTTTAGTCAGTGACTCAATTTCACACTGCGAAGTCTACCTTTGACCACCTCGAGGTTTGCGCCACCCTACATCTGGCAAACAAGACAAGGATCTCCTTGGTAAGCGGTGACAGCATACGTAGGGCGTGCCCAAGCCAACGTAACGTATTCAGTGCTAGCCGTTGTTCAACGGAACTAGGTTGATAATCATTGCCTAGCATTTGGCTACACATATCATCGTTGTGTACACACTGTTACAATTCGACACCTGCAGTGCTCTGTGGACAGCGATGATCAAAAACAATTGGCAATTTGTATGCACGGTAAATTATCAAGGTAGGACAGTATCCCTGTAGAATACGTAGACAGTTGTCCGGAATAAAAGTCCCATACACGGGCATAACCCTACTCCATTCTGATCAGTGTTTGTTTTACCTCTAGACTGTAGAGAGGAGGCCCCACACACGTACGTGTCATACACACTGAGTGTCCTGCGAATATTGGAAACACAGATCCGAAATGTCGAACTGTGAAGTACCCTGGGATTTGAAATATGTTGCCGTAACAGGCAAAATAAATCGCGGCTGTTCAAAATCACATGAAGTCCGACGCCATGTTTTTCTATTGTCAGTTTGCAATTTCGTTCCTTGCGGTCTGCGTCACAGCTAGCAACGTCCATAGCATGCGGTAGTGCTGACAGGGCGCAATTCTGGTTTGATAAAAGCCTCATAGTAGGTAATCTGGGTTCTGTTGCAGTCTGAGTACCCCGACAGCGGACTGTAGACACAAGTTGTTTCGCGATGCCGTTATGCCTTTTACACCGAGCATCGTGTGTGACGGCACATGACTGAAGGACGTTTGAGAGCGTTTCCTTCTGGCCACAAACTCCTCGGCAACGCAGAAGGGCTTTTAATGGACGTGGTTTGTCTCGGTTCAGCGTGTCTTCGTTGAGAGCACCCTCGCTCGATCGCGCCAAGAGGCGTGATCCCATGTTCCGAACATTTTCCTCACCGGGTCTGGGTTTGTCTTTACCCCGGAACTGTGCTGACTTCGCCTTGCCTCTAAGTCCCAAGCTTTTGTGGTCTGAACCAGCACCCGCTTCTGCACCCACTATTGTCCAATGTTAACGCACGCACACACAAAGACATTGACGAGCGGATGGCTGAGGTCCGTACAGAAAGGCCTTAACTACCGTCCATTTGAGTTTGACGACGCGGGTGTCTCCTATCTTGTGTGATTCCAGCATCAATGTAGCCACTTTTTGCTACCCCCAAACGCGTAATTGCTTCTGGGGCCAACCACTGTCCTTTGCACGGTTCGCAATCGGCATGGTACTGGAGGAAGAGCCGGGGTATATCGTAGTCAACTGTCAGTCGTGTTGGTCCGCGGCCGTCACTCATGGCTTAGTGGCACAAGCTGCTGGCATCCGGAAGTTATGGGTTCGGAATCCGGCAGGGGTCCGAGGAAGGCACACCACTGGCGAGACCCAGAAAGTCGAAACAGCTGTCTGGTGATTTTCTAAACATGTCAAAGCCTGCCGGCTGAGAGGGAACTGCAACCAACTACTTCTGAAAGCATTCGTCTATTGAACACAAAGTGATCACACAGAATTTCTGATGCATATTCACCAATTTTATTGTCGACGCGACCCGTCAGCACTTTGTCGATAACAGTTACCTGTTTGAAGAACGCGTAGTTGTTCCGAAATCTTTGCAGACAAGGGAATTGAGACATTTGCACCCACATCACCTTGGAATATCGCGGATGAATGCTTCAGGCAGTAGCCACACATATTGACCTTTTATTGGCAATGCTATCCATCTGACTGTATTGTGTGGACTATTGATCGACTTTATTGAACAGTGATTGATCCCCGGTAAAAAGCAGATGCTCGACAAGTCCCGTAGTATGGCTGAGATGATAAATGCCATATAAAATGGTATCTGAGTCGTCATTTGATGTGGCTATCCAGCAAATGCGCTGCTGAATAACGGTAGTGTGAAATGAGAACTGAATTCAAACATACAGGACAACATAAATGCGGTTAAAGCTGACGTATTCCGTGTGAAAAATAAAAACAAGAACGTTCAATCACATACCGCCTCTTTAGATCCATGTGACATATAAATCCGGTTTGTGGGTATGAGTTATTTATCCCAAAGTACCAGAGCTTCGGTATCGAAGTGACGGAAACGAAGGGGAACATTCAATCGTTCTTTAGCATATCCAATGTGAGGGAGAAGACAACTGACTTTGGGAAAGAATTCGAAGCTTGGGAAACCCGAAGAGAAAAATAACTCCGTCGTCGTTCTAGGCGACTGTATTGTTCACACAGCTTCAGACATTTACCTCTGAGGTTGTTGTGTCGGAGTATCAACAAGTGACGAGGATCGCGCAATATTTTGTACACTAATATGAGATCACCACGTAGCCTTCTATAGCGTCCGGTGAAAACTTAGCGCCGTTTGAGTCTCATATATAATGAAAACTGATTCGTGACAGTCGTTTATTGCCCCCGTATCGTCCAATTTAGAGATTGATTTCCAAATAATTTTGAATTCCCATAGGCGTATGATCGTTTAGATCACCGAATTCTTCTCTATGAACTTCAGAACTTTGGCATTGGTCACCCAATCCTGCGTTGGATAGGCAATTTTCTTCACGAACGTCAGTTGGATGTGAGGGTACGAGAATCCCTGTTCGACGCAAATGAGATGGAGTGCGGTGTACCCCAAGGCTCAGTGCTAGGGTCTCGCCTATTCTTGGCATAAACGATCTGGCGAGGGCAATTATCGCTGATTTCTTATTCATCGATGGTGATGTCAGGATATGGCGAGCGATCAGATGACCGGACAATGAGGAAGGGCTCAAGTGCGATCCTAACCCCATGTCGGGCTGGTCAGTTCGGAATACCCTACCATTCAATGTGAAAAAATGTGGCGTTGTTCAACTGCGCCATAGGTATGACAACATCCATTGGCTTGAGTCACACATATTGCAAACCAATTCCCAGGAACGCGACCTTAGTGTACTCATACAAAGTGACGTCAACTGTTCTAAACAGGTTGAGGCAGATGGGAAGAGAGCACGTCGGCGAGCTGCGGAGGGCATTTGGGAGTTTCGACCCATCCATTTTACCGATGATGCACAGCTTCTATGAACAATGAACAACGAATTTATACAGGTTAAGAAGCGCTGCTTTACAATTCCCGTTGGATAGTTGGTGGGGATATCGGAATAATGATAATAATAGTGAAACAATCAGTACTTTAAATATGAAAACAGGGAACTATCGTTTGCTCCGCTGTAGTCCTGCAATCCGCTGAGATTCACAGCACCCAAAGTTAACATCACATAATTCCATGGTGAATTCCAGGATGGAGACTTAGTGCTGAGTGGCAAAGTGTAAGTAGATGGGTGCATCGTCCAACCGTCTTTTAAATACTGTTAATGTCGGTGCAGAGACGACCGATTCTGGGAGAGCATTCCACGGGTGACAGACACGAATGGAAAAGAAATTTCTGCGGCACTCCAGATGGCTATACTGTATAGCGAGTTTCAATGAGTGGCCCCTCAGGGTTGTATTGGTGCTGTCGCAGTAAAGGGCGGCACACATGATGTGGGTCTCGCAGAATCAAGTA